CCTCTCTCTTTTCTTTAAAAATATTTTATTTTGTATGCAACTTCTTATAAGCTAAGCACTCAACTTAGTAACAAAAGTTATGTATGAATACTATAGCAGTTTTTAAGAAAAAATGGCTGGTGATTGAGTGATAATAAAGAACTACTATAAATTGGAACTGGAGAGATGTCTCAACAGTTAAGAGCACTGCCAACTCTTGCAGAGTCCCAGGTTTGATTCCCAGCACCCACGTGGTGGCTAACAACAATCTATAACTCCAGTTCCGGGGATCAAATGCCCTTTTCTGACTTTCACAGGAATTGCATGACATGGGTGCACTAAAACACATGCAAACAATATATTCATATACATAAAATAAAAATAATAAATAAAAAAATTTTTTGGTCTTTTTGAGACAGGGTCTTCCTGTAGCCCCGGCTGGCCTTGAACTCACAGAGATCTGCCTGCCTTTGCCTCCCAAGTGCTAGGATTAAAAGCATGCACCACCATACCTGTGTCATGCAGTGTCACAGAGGTCAGAAGAGGGCTTCAGATTCTGCTGGAACTGGAGTCAAAGACAGTTCATAGCCGCTATGTGAGTGCTGGGAATTGAACCCGGGTCCTCGCAAGAGCAGTCAGTGCTCTTAACCACTAAGCCATCTCTCTAGCCCCCAAATAAAATATTTTTTAAAACTATAAATTGTGTGTGTGTGTGTTGTGTGTGTGCGCTTGTGTGTATATACGTGCCATCACTCCAAATTGACACCTGTATGTTTGCCAAATTATAACTGTGAGCTCATGTTCATGTTGCTAGAACTGAACTCAGGTGCAGTAGTCAATATATATTTCACAAAGAATGTAGGACTTGTGGGCATTAAAGAATGAGTGGTGAGGGACTAGAGAGATTGCACATTGGTTAAAAGTATCAGCTGCTCTTGCAGAGGACTTGGATTTTGTTCCCAGCACCCTCATGGTGACTAACAATCATCTGTAACTCCAGTTCCAGGGGATCCTATAACCTTTTTCTGGCTTCCCTGGGCATTGCATGACATGGATGCACTTATATACATATAGGCAAAACACTTATACATAATAAAAGTAATAATTTAAATAAAAGTACAAGTGGTGATTAGCTCAGCATAGTGGCACACTCCTCTAATTTTGGCATGTGGGAGGTAGAGGCCAGAAGATCATGATTTCAGGCTAGCCTGGATTACATAGTGATTTTGTGGCAAGCCTAAACCCTGTCTCAAAAACAAAGTAAAAGAACAATGAGTGTTTGAGTGGTGGAATTGGAAAAGTTACATGAGGGGACAGTTCAGGAAGAAAACAAAGCAAAAGACAGAAAAGATGGAATGAAGTTAGCAGTGCAAGACACTATATGGAACTGGGCATGGTGCTCACGCCTGTTGTCCCAGCACTTGGGAGGCAGAGGCAGGAGAATCTCTGTGAGTTCTAGGCCAGCTGGGGCTATAGAGAGATCCTGTTTCAAAAAGACACTATATGGAGACTTGCCTAGAGGGAATTAGTAGGAATTGAATGTGGAGTGAGGCCATGTTATGGTGGGCTTAAGAAACTGTACAGGAGGGATCTAGTTTGTTAATAAAGGCCATTTAAAAGGTTTTCTAGCTTCGGATCTATGTAGTATTATCTGGCAAGGATATTTGGGATAAGAGAAATGGGAAAATTAGAGTTGCATGCACACACACACGCGCGCGAGCACACACACACACACAGATAACTGAAAGATATACTAAGCTTGGAGTAAAAGTGGGATCCGAGAAGGAATGGACATTGTAGGCATTTCAAAGAAGAGAGACGTGGGCTTACCATGAATGACTAGATGGGCACTGAAAGCAAAAGGTAAAGATAGCCAAGCTTTGAACTCAAGGGGGTGGGTTTCTACGGGCACAGACAAAAACTGAAAAGACAAGTAGTTAGAGGAAGTGAAGAGGCTGATCCTGTGCCCACATGTCAAGCCGCCAGTGAGTTAATTCAGTAGAGAGCCTGGAATGAGAGCCAAAGCAAGATGGAAGCACAGAGGTGTCCACAGCCTGGTGTAAGAATAACCCAGAAGTGCAGAGCATAGGGAACTATGCTACTTGTAGATGGAAAGATCTGAAGTAGAGCAGTTGTGAGCCCTGGAAAATAGATACGTTCAGTTGGATTTGAGCTCATTGTCAACCTCAGGTTCTCCAGCATGTTCTCTCTAAACACTTTAGTATTTTGTTAATTTTTGTTTGTTTTGGATTTTTTTTTTTTTTGAGACAGGATCTCCCTGTAGTCCCAGCTGGTCTGGAACTCACTATGTAGACCAGGCTGGCCTCGATCTCACAGAGATCCATCTGCTTCTGCCTCCCGAATGCTGGGATTAAAGATGCGTGCTACCACACCTGGCCTGTATTTTGTTAATCTTGAGACAGCCTTCTTGTTTCATTTCCTCCAGACTTTCCTGTGTGTGAATATAAAGAACTTTCCTTTTTTGGAGAGTATTAATGGGACCAAAAGGGGAGCTTTTAAAATGTTTATGTTATCAGTTTATTTAATTTATGCATCTAAGAAGGCTTTTTGTATATGAAGAATGTAAATGTGTGTGGGAGAATAAGCCCTTTTCTGCTCTGTGTATCCGAGACTAGAAAAGACATGCCTGAGAAATCAGGATAAAGGGGAAAAAAAATGACTTTGAGATGCACTTTCTTAAAATAACTGAAGGAATGACCTCATAAGGCAGCTGATGGCATGGGTCTGCAAATGGATACATCTCTGTTAGCCTGAAGACTGATGCTGCAGAACCAAATATATATGGATTGTTTTATATCATACCCTGTAGGTAGGAGACAGTCTGGGTAGGGGGAACTTAGGAAGACAGGTAAAGTGGCATGATTGGCACAAGAATTAAGGAGGCCTGTCTTTATTACATAAACATAGATGATTTGGGTTCATGGTTCCCTGCTGTGTAATAATTTATATTATCTTCTGGTATAATATTCGGTGTTTATTATAAGAACTGTAAGAACACTTGATAGATATGATCTTCAGCATTAAAGTGTTGATGTACCACCTCCCCCTGCTCCCATGCACAGACAAGCCTTTCTTTTATGTGTATACCTGTATTGCCTGCTTGTAGGTAAGTGCACCTGTGTTGCGCACTACCCTAGAAGGTCAGAAGAGGCCGCCGGATCCTCTGGGACTGGAGTTATGGACAGTTGTTAACTGCCATGTGGGTGCTGGGATTCGAACCCGGATCTTCTGCAAGAACAACCAGTGTTCTTAACCACTGAGCCATCTCTCCAGCCCTAAGATTCTAACTTTATGAATTACTTTTCATGCCACAAATCAGTATCATTGTTGAAGAATATTCACAGCACAGACTCCTCTTCTCCCTAGCACATAACACTGGTTACTATGCCAGGAAATAAGTATGGCAGTCAAGTGTGGTTTAAACCTGGTTTGTGGAGCTAGAGAAATGGCTCAGCAGTTAAGAGCACTGACTGCTCATGTAGAGGACCTGGGGTCAGTTCCCAGCATCCATGGACATGGCAGCTACAACCCATCCTTAATTCCAGTTTCAGAGGAATCCAACGCCCTCTTCTGACTTCCTCAGCATTGCATGACACGGATGCACTCACATACATGCAGGCAATACACTCATGAACATAAAATAAAAATAATAAAATATATATTTTAAAAAAAATGGTTTGCCCTGAGTTAGCTTTGTAAAATAAAACTGAAGACCATAATATATTTAAAGTCACACAAGCATCACTGCATCTACATCTTAGCCCAGCTTTCACAGAACTTTGTAGAAGAGTTTGGGACTTATTTTCACCTCTTATTAACTGGAAAGCCAATATATTTTCATATATTTTATAATCATCCACCTTAAAGGATTCTTTTTAATGTTTCTAATAGAACATCATTTGATTCTCTGAGTTTTCCTGGTACAGAGTCATCTCATCTACAGGTGATGACTGGATCTGCTACTCAGCTCTTACTCAATTGTCTCTTTGATTACCACCTACAGAACAATTTTAATAACACCTTGACATGGACAGTTAATACATGGAAACTGTAGAAGAGGCATAAACTCCAGTGCCAGTAGTATCTCTGGAGGCAGAAGTCAAGCTTAGAGATAGACATTGCCCTTTTAGGAACAAGTCAGGGGCTGGAGAGATGGCTTAGAAACTTAGAGTACTTGCTGCTCTTTTAGAGAACCCAGGTTCAGTTTCCAACATCCATATGGCTGCTTACAATTGTCTGTAGCACCAGTTCCAGGAGATCTAACACCCTCTTCTGGTCTCTGTGGACAACAGGCATGGATGTGATGCATATATACATACATTCAGAGAAACACTCAAACACATAAAATAAAAAAATCTTTTTTTTTTTTTTAAATAGAACAAATCGAGCCTGGAGTGGTTTTGCATGCCTTTAATCCCAGCAGAGGCAGGCGGATCTTTGTGAGTTCAAAGCCAGCCTGGTCTACATAGCAAGTTCCAGACCAACTGGAAAGAGAGAGAGAGAGAGAGAGAGAGAGAGAGAGAATGAGAGAGAGAATCTACAAAATGTAGTTTTTAAAAAAGGCTTATTTTATGTGTATGAATGCTTGCTTGCATGTGTGTATATGTACCACGTATGTGCCTGGTACCCACAGAGGCTAGAAGAGGGCATCAGATCCCTTGGAACTGGAGTTACAGGCAATTGTGTGCTACCACGTGGGTGCTGGGAACTAAAACCCAGGTTCTCTAGAAAGGCAGCATGTGCTTTATATGCTGAGCCAGCTCTCTAGCCCCAGAATGCAGCTTTTGAGGCCTCCTTAACCAAAGATTGTATCCTTCTCAATCATCCATGAAGCAGTAGTAACCTGTAGGAAACAGTGGGTTCTCAGCAGTCACATTTGAAATTTTCTGGCGCCCTCTGGAAGGATCTTGTTTCATGATCTCAGGGTTTGGTAGGGGCCACAAGTATACCCCAGGTGTCATTCGTGAGTGCATTGTGATGACCACACTCTTCTCTTTCAGGCCCAGCTCCGGGCATTTATCCCAGAAATGCTCAAGTACTCCACAGGTCGGGGGAAACCAGGCTGGGGGAAAGAAAGCTGCAAGCCCATTTGGTGGCCAGAAGACATCCCATGGGCAAATGTCCGCAGTGACGTCCGCACAGAAGAGCAAAAACAGAGGGTGAGAGTTCTCTGATCCAAGTTGCCCATTTCATTGCCATTCTGAATCAGTTGCCTCAGCTTTCATCATGTCTGCTTTTTATGCTAGAAAGGCTAACAACATTTATAGACTAGTCAAACCTGTCCCTCCAAAGAAGTTTGATATTCTCTGATGTTCAGCCTTCCTCAGTCGTTGTTCCATTGCTCTACAGAGAAAGATGTAGAAGGGCTCTGAATTTTATACTTTGTCTCCTCATAATTACCCTTTGTAAAAGCTTTAATTTTATGAGGTGTTTGAGAAAACCAAAGAAACTGAAAGTAAAAGTATTAGTCATTTGAAAGCTTAGAAATGTTCTTATTTCTGATTAGCAAGAGTCACTGTTGAGATGGGCAGGGTAGCACATATATGTAACTTAGGAGGCTGAGGCAGGAAAATCTCAAGTTCTCAAGGGCCAACCTGAGCTACATAATGAGTTATAGGCAACTTGGGCCATAACAAGACCCTGCCTCAAAATATACAAATTAACAAAAAGAATCACTATTGAAATAAGTACAGAATTAGAGGGGAAGTGTGCCAGGTGAGTATGTTGGTGTCAAAACTTTAAGAAGAAAGACTGTCCATGCATGGTAGTGCATGTCTTTAATGCTAGCACTCAGGAGACACAGGTAGGCAGATCTCTGTAAGTTCAAGGCCACCCTGGGCTACATAGTGAGGTTAGCTGGAGCTATAGGGGAGACCTGTCTCAAAAAGACTAAACTATTTGAGAGTTTGCCCTCCGATTAGAGTAGAACATAAAAGGTAAACCAGATCTTGGAAAGCAGGGGAGAAGTCATCTTTGGTACTTGGTATTCAGTTTCTTTGTGCAAGAATCAGTCTGGAGAAAATCCTAAGAGACTGATTCTATACAAGGTTTGATAAATATAGAGCTGATTATTCCATAGTGGGACTAAATACCAAAGTTCTTTGTGGTTTTATGTGTCTTTTGGTGACAGGTTTCATGGACCCAGGCATTACGGACCATAGTTAAAAATTGTTATAAGCAACATGGTCGAGAGGATCTTTTGTATGCTTTTGAAGATCAGCAAACACAAACGCAGGCTACCACCACACACAGTATAGCACATCTTGTACCATCACAGACCGTAGTACAGACCTTCAGCAACCCTGATGGCACCGTCTCGCTCATCCAAGTGAGTAAGCCTCATGGCTCAAGGGAGGTGGGTGAGTGGAATCTCACCTCAGTGGAGTTTTCTTGTGTAGATTCCTCTGAGCATCATACAGCTACTCTAGCTCCCTTCCTTAAAGGTAACTTCCGAACAGTATTTTATTTATTCATTTTTATTTTGTTGTGGTGCTAGGAATGGAACCCAGGGCCTCACCCACACTAGCAAATCACTCTACCACATGGTCATATCTCATCTTCAGCCTTCGAACAGTATTTTACATTGTTTGCACTTTGTTTAATTCAGAGCTATATAAGTAGCTTTTGTGGACATTTTCAAAAAAAGCACTTGAAAATTACTTCTTGGCTGGGGATGCACTGTAGTGATAGAGTGCTTACTTAATTAGTACAAGTCTTCAATTGCACTGGCTTCAGTCCCTAACACTGCAAACAAAAAAGAAAGAAAGACAAGGATGGAGGGAAGAAAGGAAGAAAAGAGGTAGATGGTTAGGAGTAGTAGATGGATAGAAAGGTAAATAGGTAGTCAGGGAAATCTCATCTCTTCTGAAGTGAAACATAGTTGATTGACAGAAGAGGAGTCTCTGAAGTTCAGATTGGGATGGGAGCATAATGTTGGTTGACTGGTACTAAGCTTTAGAGTGAAATTTGAAAGCTCTTACTGATTTGGTTGAAGTAAAATTCTGAAACTCATGCTAATCTCTGAGAAATGATTTTCCTAATTCGGTTCATGTCACAAGGCATATTAATCATTACATTACCTATGTCGAATTTGGGGTTTGTTGAGTCTTAGCTTATGAGTAAGGACTGGGCAAAAGGGTCCATCCACTAACACTTGCACTTCCTGTTTTTCTTAGGTTGGTACAGGGGCAACAGTAGCCACATTGGCTGATGCTTCAGAACTGCCAACCACAGTCACTGTTGCCCAAGTGAATTATTCTGCTGTGGCTGATGGAGAGGTAAGAAAGGATTCTGTATGCATCTGTTGAAATATGTGGGTAAAGCTGGGCATGGTGGCACACGCCTTTAATCCCAGCACTCTAAGCTCAGCACTCAGGGAGGCAGAGGCAGGTAGATCTCTTGTGAGTTAAAGGCCAGCCTGGTCTATGTAGTGAGTTCCAGGCCAGTGGAGGCTACAGGGAGACCCTCTCTCAACAACAACAACAACAACAATAACAAAATACTCAGAAGCAATGAGACATTCTCTGAATAGCTTTGCCTCTGGGACTTGGAGCCCTTTCTTTGGAACATGGTGACATACAGGGCACAGATAGTACATATGGCTCCCAACAAATGGGAAGAGAATATGAGCTCAAGCAAACACAGGCAAAAAGCACTGCTTGAAGTCTATAGTGGAAAGTCTTGTTCCTGCCTTCTGTCCAACCTCAAGAAAGTTTTCTCTGTTTCTCTTTCCCACCTCCTTCCATCCTTCTGTGCCTCTCTCCCTTCCTGTCTTTCTTGATACAGCATTGCTATGTAGCCCAGACTGACCTGTAATTTGAGATCCTCCTGCCTCTGCCTCCTGAGTTGCTGGGATTATAGATATGTGTTGCAAGTTCAAATGTAAATTCTGATACCCCCTTTTTACACAAAAGAGCTTCCTGAAAAATCCTGTCTGTAAATTATGCGCATTTAAAAATGTATATTTATTTGCCTGAAAACACAAACATAGAAATATTTTATGCTTTGATTTTTTTTTTTCACTGGCTTATCCTTTCTGCCTCAGGTTGAACAAAATTGGGCCACATTACAAGGAGGTGAAATGACCATCCAGACAACGCAAGCATCAGAGGCTACCCAGGCCGTGGCATCATTGGCAGAGGCCGCAGTGGCAGCTTCTCAGGAGATGCAACAGGGAGCCACTGTCACCATGGCACTCAACAGGTGGAGGCAGGGGTCGGGGCTAAACAAGGATTGCGGGACTGTCCTTAGAAGTGCTGTTGCTCAGTCACAACCGGCAGCTGTGAAATAATACCTTCAAGCCCATAAGATATTGTAGGCAGGTTTTTATTTTTATTTTTTAATTTATGTTTTTTGGTCTTTTTGAGACAGTATCTCCTTGTAGCCCCAGCTGTCCTGGAACTCAGTATGTAGACCAGGCTGGCCTCGAACTCACAAAGATCCGCCTGTCTCTGCCTCCCAAGTGCCGGGATTAAAGGTGTGCGCTACCACGCCTGGCATGTTTTTTGTTTTTCATAGTGCTGGGGATTTAGCCCATTATTAGGCAAGCATTTTATTACCGAGCTACTGTAGTTTGGTTTCTAATGAGACCTCACCCAGAAAAATTGAACTTTTTCTCTTTAGGAATGCTTAGGAACGGTACTGTGGATTAGAATGCTCTGGGAAGAGATACTTTCCAAAATGGAATTTTATGTTCCTTGCTGGGCACTTTCTACAGAAGGTTGACCGGAAACATCATCCCTATATCATTCTTCATTCTTGACACAATTTTATTTTCAGCATTTTAATTAAGAATGTGGGCCTTGGGGCTGGAGAGATGGCTCAGTGATTAAGAGCACTGGCTACTCTTGCAGAAGACCTGGGTTCGAATCCTAGCTCCCACATAACAGCTAACAACCATCCATAACTCCAGTTCCAAGGAATCCAGCACCGTCTTCTGACCTCTGTTGGCATTTCACGACATGGGTGCACTTAACATACAAGGCAATACACTCATACACATAAAACAAAAATAATAAATAAAAATTTTTTTAAAAAAGAATGTGGGCCTTGAAGCCAATCTGCTTGTTTCTGAAGCCCAGCTAGCTTTATCACTTACAAGTTGGTTGACTATGGCCAGTTTAAACTCTCAGTGCCTAGGCTTTGTTTTTCTGTAGAAGAGGATAATACCTGTGCCTGAGACTGGAGAGATGGCTCAGTGGTTAAGAGTGCTGGCTGCTCTTGCAGAGGATCTGGGTTGGAATCCCAGCATCCATATGGGAGCTAACAACCATCCATAGCTCCTGTTCCCCGACACCCTCTTCTGACCTCTATGGGACTTTGCAGGACATGGGTACACTTACATATGTGCAGGCAATACACATAAAATAAATAAATAATAAAAGCCCATGCCTGCCTTGAGGCGGTGGTATGAGAACTGAAGAAGCTCCTGGGGGTGGGATCCTTGGATCAGTGCCTGGCAGGTGGTAAGGGCTGTTGCTATCATTGTGTATAGTGATTAGCCTCTGGTAAGTGACTTCTGTGACAGGCCAACACTCTACTGGGTAAAGTAGTATAGGAAAGAGTGTTCTAGCACATAGTCTCTGCACTCAAAGAAATCTCTACTGAGGAAACTGATTTCAGTGAAAGACCCAGCAGGTAATTAGTATGTACTTCACTCTAAATTGAGTAGTACAGACTACAGACATTGTAGCAATTCAGAGATGGGTTCATACCCCTCCCCCAAATACATAAATCAGCTAAAGTTTAAGTTTGTGGGGCTTTGCTTTGTTAAATAAACTTTTTCTTTAAAAAAGAGATAGATGGAAAGCTTTAATGGGTCTGTGTGTAAACTGTACTGTCTGAGGCTGTACAATGTGCTTGAGAAGAAGGTTCCTAGGTCACATAGCTTTTGGGTTGAATCCCAGCTCCATTAGCCATTTGCCTCTAAGATTTGCTTCTAATATTATCCTGTGAGGATAATATTCATCAACAGACTCAAAAATTTGGTGAGATGACACATGAAATGCTCATAAAGGCACCCAGTACATACTTACACTTCAGGAATTAAAGCTATCGTTCTCTCTCCTCCTTGCTTCCTTCCTTTCCCCCCTTCCTCCCCACCCCCTTATTTTCTTTCAACAGGATCTCATTCTGTAGACCAGGCTTAACTCACTGTATAGCCTTCCTTTCAGAGAATATACCCAGAAAATTTCCTGAAGGGCAGTCAGAGCAAGAACCTCCTTCCCTTTAGTCTAGTAACCCCTTACTCTGACGTTAGGTCTAACAAGCCATCATTAAAGACCAGCAAAATCTGAGCCTTCCAGTCTGCACCTTGACTATTCCAGTAAAGTGAGTGTCCTGGGAACCTTTCACATAGTGGAAAATCTGAGGCCCGTTCTGGTTCCCTTTGCCTGAGGATCAGGCTTATTTCTAAAGACAGGAAGGGTAATGGTGTCCCCTGAGGGCTTATTAACAAACTTAGATGCAGCTGAGGTGGCTATAAGTGTTTACTCTAAAGGAAGGAGAAATGTGGTTTGTCTTAAAGGAGGAGCAAAGAGATGTTGAAATCTGTTTGTAATCAGATAGTCCAATGCCCCAGCGAGTCTTGGGGGTGATATGTTGCAGCTTCTGTTAGAAGTGAAGACTGGCAGAAAAGCCTAGGCTATAGCAGTTATAACCCATGGCAAATGCCCTTGTCAGGAGGGTTGGTTCATTCCCTATGTGTAATACGCAATGGAATCCTTTACCCTCATAGAATTAATTGTTGGAAGTCCTCTTGATGAAAAATACACAGAGAAATCTGGCCTTTGTTCCTATGGTAACAAAGTGATTTCATAATCTGCCCCTGGTCTGTTTCAGGTGCAGATGGAACAAGCATGGTTCTCTAACAGCCACCTGCACCTCTGCTGCACTGTAAACAGCAGATGCGAGTGCAGAGTAAGAAGAAGCAAGCTGTGGGGAAAGGCAGATGGGGCACTAAGACTTAAGGCACAAGGGCTCCTTCATCCATTAGAGGGGAAGGGGATCAGGGCAGCTGCAGGACAGACCTGTTTTTCAACTATGCTGTTAAAGAGTTTTGTGCAGCAAGTCAGAACAGGGGCCCAGGCCCACAGCTTTAACCCACCCTTGCTTTCTAACAACCCAAAGAGACTATGGAAATGTCAGTATGAAAACAAAAACTGGGACTGGAGAGATGGCTCAGAGGTGAAGAACACTGGTTATTCTTGCAGAGGACCTAAGTTCAATTCTCAGCACCCACATGGTGGCTAAAACCATCCATAACTCCAGTTCCAGGGGATCTGACACCCTCTTCTGACCTCCTTGGGTATTGGACATCAGAGGCTAGAGAGATGGCTTAGTGGATAAGAACACTGACTGTTCTCGCAGAAGACCCAGGTTCAAATCCCAGCACCCACATGGCAGCTAACAACTGTCTGTAACTCCAGGGGATCCGACAGTCTCTTCTGTCCTATGCAGGCATTGCACGACATGGGTGCACTTATCTACATGCAGGCAATACACATAGAATAAAAATAATAAAATATATTTTTTAAAAGATGTTTATTTTAATGTTCAAAATTAAGAATAAATCAACACTTTGGAAAGGAGGTAGGGAGTCAAGGTTAAACAAATGAACAGACTATCACAGGCAAAAAAAAAAAAAAAAAAGAGGAAAGGAGATGCCACTATCATACAGTAATAAATATGAAGCTTCACTTTTTTTTTTTTTTTTTTTTGGTTTTTTTGGGAAGGGGCCTCTCTATAGCCCCAGCTGGCCTTGAACTCACAGAGATCCACCTGCCTCTGCCTCCCAAATGCTGGGACTAAAGGCGTGCACCACCATACTTGATAGCCTCCCTTTTATGAAGCAATTCTACACATATATTCCCTCTTAAATGGGCCCTCCTTGCAGATAATTCTTGAGTACCTCCCAGCGCAGCCGTACATATAAAGATACATGATAAAAATTTGTAGACTGAGCCTCTATTTGCCTTAGTAGAAACCTGCTTTATATTGTGTTGTCAACACAGTGTATTTGTTGTGTGTTTGCTGTGTACAGTGCCGTGACTTAGCATTATGAAGAAACAGATGCTCAGATTACATCTTCTTTTCAAGGAACTTAGAATTGCCCCTCTTTAGCTGAGGAGACTGCTTACAAAATAAGTAAAACAGAGTGTGGTAGCACATGCCTCTTATCCTAGCACTTGGGAGACAGAGGCAGGAGGACTGCTGGAAGGTCAAGCTAGCCTGCTCTACATACTAAGTGCTACACTAGCCAGGGAGTCACTACAACGCCCTATCTCAAAACAAACAAAAAAAACATAGTGCCTCACACATGCTAGGCATGTACTCTATTTCTGAGCTATATCTTCCTAGTCCTTTTTCATTTTTAATTATGAGACAGGTTGCCACAGATTCCCAGGCTGGCCTTGAATTCATGTCTAGCCCCCAACTTTTATACTGCCACAGCCTCCTCAGTAGCTGGGATTATAAGCCCCAGATAGAATTCCACCCACCTCCACCCAGCCACCTCACAACAGGATCTTGGACTATATCACTGACTAGCCTCAAACTCATGGCAACCTTCCTGCCTTAGCCTCCCAAGTAATTGGATTAAAAGCATGTACCACCATACTCAGCAAATAAAGGTAATCTTTCTAGCAGTTTTAAGTCATTTTGCATGAAGTCTTGGTTAAATGAGTATGATCACTTTGGAAGTGATAGGCCTGATGACCACAAAAAGTTACAATTGTTTTCATGTCCTATGTAAAAATCCTGCCCATCTCACTTTGTCTCTGGCTCCCAAGACGGGGTGGAATAACTTATATCAACTGTCAGCTTATTACCCTCATTGAACCTCTAATACCTGAGTATATTATTTAGATTGCTGCTGATTCTTGATTTTTTTTTCCTACCGTATTATATTTTAGAAGTATTTAGAGCTTTAGCTACACTAAAATCGTCATGATCGAGGACAGGTGCATGATGTCCAGGTCTATGGAGTTCCCCTCCCCTCCATTGCCCAGAAATTCCATACTGCAAACATGTGTCCAGGGTATCTATTTTTCTATTTTCCAGAAAATCTTAGGTCAAGCTAGGTAAGAACCTGTCTCAAAATAAAAATGGGCTGGGTGTGGTAGTACACACCTTTAATCCTAACACTTAGGAGGCAGAAACAGTTGGATTTCTCTGATTAAGGCCAGCCTGGGCTACATAGTGAGACCTTGTCTCCAAAAAAAAAAAAATACAAGAAGGACTATGGCACTATAGCTCAGTGGTAGAGTACTTGCCTAGCCTGTGGAAGGTCCTAGGTACAGTAAGTATGTATTTATTTATGTGAATGAATATTTTGCCTACATGTATGTAAGTGCACCACATGCATGTAATACCAGTGGAGGCTGGAGGTGGGCATTGGATCCCCTGGAACTGGAGTTACTGACTATTGTTAGCTACCATGTTCTTGCTGGGAACCAGACCTGACGCCTCTGCAAGAGAAGCCAGTGCTCTTGACCATCTCTCCAGCCCCTATTATAAATACTTTAGAAACACTTTATAGTTAAGCTCTATCATGAAATAGGTGAGGAGCAGCCTTGGTCTTAATTTCATGTCTCCTTTGACTCTGGATGCTTAATACAATAATGTAGAATAATACTGTATGTCAGGTCTCCAGAATCCCCCCAGAATGAACTTAGTTTCTGTTCATGCTGCACTAAGTTTTGTTTCTCTCTCCCAACTGCCAGCAGTTGATACAGCTAGCCACCTTTTAAAAAGGAAAAGATCAAGCTGGGCGTGTGGCTCATAGCTATAATCTCAGCAGTCTGAGAGGCTGAGGCAAGAGGATTGCTATAAGCTTGAGGCCAGCCTGGGTTACAATGCTAGATACTATCTCAGAAAAACAAGGATGGGGGGAAGAGGGAAGGAGACCAATAACACCTCAAAAAAATCAAAACAAACACACACAAAAAAAAATTGTATGCAAAAAGGACATTAAACATTAACTGTATATCAACATTATTTAAAATGACCTTCAGATCCAGTGCAATCCACATCAATTCCTGCCAGGTGTAGTAAAGCACACCTGTGATCTCTATACTCAGGAGGTAGAGGCAGGAGGATCTGGAGTTCAAGGCCATCCTGGGCTATGTGAATCCCTGTTTTCAAACTTTGTCCCCTGAAAAAGTAATCAAAATCCCAGTGCTATTTCTAAAATTGTTGAGGTATTAGAAATTTCTTTAGAATTGAAGTTAACATTCTATAAGGTCACTCAGACCAAAGTGCAAGAAATTCCAGGAATACAAACTACTGTCTGTGGTAATGGGCTATCTTCTCCAAATGTCACAAATGTGCATGATAGAGCAAATCTTTAGAAAGCCATGTTCACTGTCCATTTGTATTGGGTAAGAATCATTCATTTCATGGAATCCATGTTAAAAGAATGGTTGTGGATTATCACAGCCCTCTTGTATTTATCCATTTTCTTTTTTCAGCTCCCCATGGTGGACTGCCATCTTGATTTCTCAGTAGTAGGGTTCATTTAAAACTCAAGCTGGCCAGGTGTGGTGGCACAAGCCTTTAATCCTAGCACTCAGGAGGCAGAGGCAGGTGGATCTCAGTGAGCTTAAGGCCAGCCTGGTCTACATAGAGAGTTCCAGGCCAGCTGAGGTTACAGGGAGACCCTGTCTCAAAAAGACCAAAGGGGGGGGGGGGGAATCAAGCTGATGAGTGTAAGTGTATCCACCAATGTGTAGTGTATAGGCCCTTTATTCCATCCGAGAATATATTTTGCTATATAAAATACAGACTTTACCAAAGAATCTTCTTTATTCTCAAGGATAAACTTCTATTATCTCAGTCTTCAATATGGTACCTGGGATAAAAAGGGTGTACCCGCCCACCCACTGGACCATTGACCCCTAAGCTTCCTGCCATTGCTTCTGGGGAGCAGCTGGTATTCTCTGGCTTCGGTCCCTAACACTGCAAAAACAACAAACTGCATATGCAATCTGATCCTACTTATTTGCTTAATAGTTGATAGATGTTATCTCCGAGATTTAAATTTCTCCCAAGGTTCCAACATGTATTCATTTTATTATCAGAAAGAAAAAAAAAAACTTAAAATGGAGAAAAATTAAAAGCAAGACAGATTAGCAAGAAGGGGAGACTTCTATTTACTGAGACTTTTCTGCCCTTTAAAAAAAAAACTTTCTAGAATCCTTAGTGACCAAGAAATCTTCCCTGGGGAATTAACTGTGCCTGTTGCCTTGTCTGCTGAGCTTCTTAGGTGGAAAGAACTTTATCTAATAGGGTGTGTGTGTATTGCTGTGCCCCCAATCAGGACATGTTTACACTAGCCAGTCCCTGCTCTGGCACCAGTCCCCACTTCAAGCCTGGGACTGACTGCCTTAGCAGTGGCAATGCCTGCAGCTTCAGAGCAAAGCTGAATCCACTAGCTTATTTGAAGACTGAACTGAGGCCTCTGCGCACCTCTACTAAGCTAAATTGGCACAATGGCTTCTCTACTGAATGCCCACTAAAATACATTTCATTAACATTTATTTACTGTCAGTCTCTTTTTCTACCATGTAGGTCCTAGAGATTGAACTCAAGTTGTTAGGCCTGGTGGCAAACTCCTTTACCTATTGAGCCATCTCTCCAGCCCATGCCCACTTTAAAAAAAATTTTTTTGTATGTATATGCTCCCATGTGCACATGTCGGGTGTCCTGCTCGATTGCTCTGCCTTATTCCCTTAAGACATGATCTCTCACTGATCCTGGAGCTAAGCCAACAGCCAGCAGACCTCATTGATCCTCCTGTCTCCACCTCCAACAGCACTGGGGTTACAGGCACAGAGTGCCGCCATACCCAGCTTTTTTTATGTGGGTGTTACAGATTCGAACTCAGCTCCTCATGCTTGCATGGCAAGCTTTCTTACACACTCAGTCCCTTGCATGCTCAATTTTGATATTCAGGAATACCAAATTGTCACCTGATGTCTTTGTAGAAGGAATTCTGAATTTATCTGTGAGCTTTTTATTTTGTTCTGTTTTTCACACTTTAATGTCTCTGAAATTTGGATGACAATTTTAGTCTTAGCATTTTTAGGAATTTTCTTCTTTACTGGCACGTAAAATAGTAGTAGTACATCTTACAGTTTATGGCATCATAGACTCAAGAAAAAAATTGATGTTTATGTACATAGTAAAAGCATACAGCAAGGAAAAGAACAAAAAAAAACGAGACACAAGCTGCTGGAACCATGTGCTCCCTTTAAACAGATGTCTCTGTTCTCTGCAGGGTTTGCAGTAAAGGGAGGGTTATTCAGTTCCTTGAATTTAAAGAGGCAAACTTGGCCTTACAGTGATGATTTTAAATGCTAACTCTCCATTTTCAGTGTTATCTACATAAACAGTATAGCAAAATGAAGAATTGGAATTTTCATGTTAATAGCCAACCATTGCTTAGCATTTGAAAAGTATGTATATAATAAACTCAATTGTTACTATATAATATTAATTGGATTGCAAGTCCATGTTGCTGACTCTTCATGTTATCATCCATCTTTAGCTTAAAAGAATGATCTCAAATGATCTACTTTGTCTCACCGTAAAGAGAAAAAGAAAACCTTGTGATTGACAACCAAAATGAATTTTGTATTGTGAATATGGATCAGACCTTCCACTATGGTTTGCAAGCACTCAATTGCTGTCGATAAGGAGAGACTGATAATGAATGCATTCTTGTCCTCAAACACTCATTACCTGGATTTAAAGAAAAATTCACATTAGCTTTATACATATATGCTTGAGATTTCTCTAGCTGTTTATTGTTGTTGAAAATTAGTCCTGGCTCTGTTCATTAGCACTGGTAGTCTTGTACCCGTAGAGCTGGGAGAGAGATCCCAGGGAAGATGCAGGACTGTACCTTGACTCATCTTGCATATCCCCCTCTCTCCTGTCCCTGCACCACAGTGAAGCTGCCGCCCATGCTGTCGCCACACTGGCTGAGGCCACCTTACAAGGAGGGGGACAGATAGTCCTGTCTGGGGAAACCGCAGCAGCTGTCGGAGCACTTACTGGAGTCCAAGATGCTAATGGTAAGAGATCATAAATATTTTATTGAGTTTATTCCCTGTTTCCACTTAAACCTTCCTGATATAGTTGGCAACAAACCCTTTAGAAAGAAGTTGAGCTTGGTTTGAGATTTTCTTCATAGGTAGGCATTTGATACCCACGAAAATTCTAGGATCCTCGAATATCATTCTTTTCATTAATAGGAGACTTGAGGTTTCCTGAAAGAAAATGCCACTTAATGGATACCTGATTTTACTACTTTTTTTTTTTTTTTTTTTTAAGCAGCTGTTTTGCTAAGACTTAATGAGATATACTTTAGAATTTTCTGTGGGGCACATCCTTCCTTTACTGTGCTATGGGGTAGAATAGATCATTGACCTTCACTACAGCAGAGATGACCTTGGGCGGTGGAGCTCTTACTCCCTCCAGAAAGGTACCTCTGTTTCACCTGTTCTTAGCATAGACAGGCTATATTGAAGACCCTTTTCTGATTGATCCTGTGTGTTCTGTTTCCTGTGATATGGCCTTACCAAGGGCATCTGCATTTAGCCAGTAACATGCTACTACCCTGCCCTTTCCTAGCTGTTTGACTTTCTGGATACCAAATCATCATCATCATTATCAAAAGGGATAAAGTTCTTGGGAATATGGTGGCAAAAACTTATAGCTCCAACCAAACTTTTTAGATTCACTTCAGCAGGCTCTGGGAGTCCATGGCCAAGGCTTCGGCTGCCCGGGAAAGAGCCTAGAAGTCTAGGTTAAAGAGAAGGGCCAGCTGTGATCTGTGACACTGATTGTTTCTTTAATTAAGCAGGGCAAATTAAATCTCTGGAAATTGTTGCTTCGAAGTCTTGAAAAGAGAGTAGGTAGACAATATTTTTTATTTAGACAGAAAATTATTTAATGGTATTAAGTGGTTGAAAGAGAAGTTTGTAGTACTTTTTTTTTGAGGGGGGATTGGTTCCTAAGAACAAAATATCCTGCAAGTTAGAAAAGTCTTTGGGGGAAAAGACCCAATGCTGTGTCCTCTTTGAAAGTGGAAATAAAAAGCATTTCTCTCCTAGAGAAGAGCAATGTAAGGAATAAGAAATGCAGCACTATGGTAACTTCCGAGGGTCCGTTTTTCTTTATGACTTGGTGCTTTCTTGAATTATCCTAGGTGGAGATAGGGTTGATTTTAGCCAGAATGCTGCAGGATAAAGAACATCTTACTGCCAATGATATATACCTTTTTGGAACTGAATCTTAAGTGATTTAACAAAAATTCGTCACTACCAGTGAGACAAAAAAAATAAAAAGAATATCTTACGACGTGTGTGTTCAGGATGAAATGGACCATGGAGGAAATCTGGAAAAGCTTCCTCTGTGTCTAGGAACCCTACCTCTGTTTTTTAACCTTTTCTGTTCCTCATCTGAGCCTTCCTCTAATCTGAGGGGAACATAGGCTATCTTACCACGTGGAGGAACAGTTGCTGGTACTCTGGATAGTACTGCCAAATATTCCTTGTATTTGTTTGGTAGGAGACTTTGTTACACTTTCTAATAGACTTGACCTGTCTGAGAAGGAACTGACAGCTTTAAGGCTCTGTCTTCTCCCCAGCCATGCCTTTTTGGATAGGTAAATTCATAGGTGAATCTAAGGATGATCTAGGTATTCAGCCAGGTAGATCTGTTCAATCATACTGTAAAGTAGAATCACATACTCTACTATTCATTGCTGGAAGCTGCTTCTTTTTTAGTAGCCTTCATGTTGTTGGCTATATTCATGATAAGAAAAAAATTTGGCTCTACATTCTAAGAGCCCATAGTTCCAGCTGGATGTGATGTATGCCTATAGTCCTACTCAGAAGGCTGTGGAGGTGGAGGATCACTCAAGCCCATGAGTTAGAGACTACCCTGGGCAATCTGGTGAGAACCCATCTCAAAAAGAAAACTAAATTAAAAGGCAGACCAATGCTTGATGAACTCAGGGCTTGGTATTTGGGCTTTTCCCTTTCTAATAGTAGTTTCTAAGTGTTAAATAAATTAGTAATTTATGCTGGTCTCAGCAATTACATAAAAGCAAATCATTTTTATCTGGTTTTGGGAATGCAGAGAATGAGTCCAGTATTGGAGATTATCCAGATCATTCTGACATTCCTTCTGTCTTTTAACATTTTCACCAACAGTGCTCTAAGATGTATTCTTCTTAGAGCAATTTGGATAACATTTCAGACCTGAAGAGGAGTTTGTGAGGCAGAACTAATAGGAATGGAGGATGATTGACCATAGAATTTGATGAAGTAACCACTGGGTGGTGGCTGGATATTAGTATTATCTGTAGGACTGTGTTAAAGATACTTCAATTCTGAGTCACCAAGCAGTCCTTATAGGTGCACTCTGCATATGCCCTGAAGACATAGCCTTTCTTCTGGGCACCAACTCCATGCCAACACTAAAGGAACTTCAAGCCCTAGCATTACTGTATTTCATTAATGTTCTATCTTTTTCAGTAGAGGTAAAGTAAGGAGTTTTTGGTCTCAGAATACATTTCATGGTTTGGTTTGGTTCACTTGAAAGATTTTTTACAGGGTGCCTTTTCTTTGAGAAAGAGGTAGAATTACCCAAGATTGGGAAAGACCACCAAACGAGTTCCTAATAGACCTTAATAAGAGGCTATTTATGTACTTTAGCCTTTTCATTTCCCTGTACTCCATCACCCTCTTCTCTGCTAGGCCCTGGATCCCCTGTACTCCCAGGACTTATGGCCTCCAGGACCAGCAGATACATGCACTCATCAGGGGGAGGTGTTTATAGATCTTTTCTCCTCCTTCCTATTTTACAGCAAAAATAATTAAAGACTTCTATGAGTTCTTAGCCACCTCAGACATCTCCTTTTTTGGGGGTGGGGGGGTCTTTTTGAGACAGGGTCTCCCTGTAGCTCCAGCTGTCCTGGAACTCACTATGTAGACAGGCTGGCCTTGAACTCACAGAAATCCGCCTGCCTCTGCCTCCCGAGTGCTGGCCTTTTATATCAGAAATATCACAGGGACTGGAGAGATGGCTCAGCAGTTGAGAGCACTGACTGCAGACAACCCCAGGTTTGGTTCTCAGAACCTACATGGCGGCTAACAGCCGTCCATAACTCCGGTTCTAGGTGATCTGATGCCTTCTTCTGACATCTGTGGGCATTGCATGACATGGGTGCACTTAAGTGCATCCAGGCAATATTTTATTATTAAATAGTAAAATACTTTTAAAAAAGAAATATTGGGCTGAGCGTGGTGGTGCATGCCTTTAATCCCAGTACTTGGGAGCCAGAGGCAGGCAGATCTCCATTGAGTTCAAGGCCAGCCTGGTCTACATAGTGAGTTTCCAGGACAGCTGGGGCTACAGGGAGACCCTGTCTCAAAAAGACAAAGAAGGAAGGAAGGGAGGGAGGGAGGGAGGGAGGGAGGGAGGGAGAGAGAGAGAGAAAGAAAGAAAAGAAAGAAAGAAATATCATCACAGGTTCATATGAGTTTCTTTCCTAAAAATGAGATGAGGAGAGGCCAGAGAGATTGCTCAGTGGTTAAGAGCATTGACTGCTCTTGCAGAAGATCCAGGTTCTAATTTCAGCACCCACATGGTAGCTAACAACCATCCGTAACTCCAGTTCCAGGGAATCTGACTCTCTTCTTCTGACTTCCGTGGCATTGCATGACACAGGCGCACTTACATACATGCAAGCAATACACTCACACCCATAAAATAAAAATAATAAATAAAAAAAAAATTTAATGAGATGAGGCAAAACAAAACAGATAACTGAAGTTCCTATACCTCTTACCAGAGCTGCTGAGAAAGTCCCAACATTTTCTAAATTAGCCAACACTCTTCCTTATGGTCCAGAAGAATTTGAATAGGATTGTATTGCCAACCACTGGGTGTGGTGTAGCCCCAACTAGCCTGAAACTCAGTATGTAGACCAGATCCACCTACCTCTGCCTCCCAAGTGCTAGGATTAAAGGCATATGACACCACCCCCGGCTTGTTTTTGTTTGGTTTTGAGAGAGGGTCTTGGTATGTATACCAGGCTGGCCTCAAACTCATGATGCCTTTCTGCCTTATGCCTCCCAAGTGCTGAGATAACAGTTGGGTACAATCATGCCTGGCTACTTTTATGCTCAAAACATCTTTTTTATGCTTAAAATTCAATGAGTATCTAATAACATTTCTACAGTTCTAGTATAGTCATTATAGTTTTTGTTTTTTAATTTTTTGACCTTTATTTTGTTTTATGTGTGTATATTCTGCACTGTGTGCCGTGTCTTGTGCCTGTAGAAGCCAAAGGAGATGTCAGATCCCTTGAATCTGGAGTTACAGGCAATTGTGAACCTTCATGTGGGTTCTGTGAACCAAATCTGGGTCCCCCAAGAGAAGCAAGTGTTCTTAACTGCTAAGCCATCTCTCCAGCTCCTGTTTTAGTTTTTTGAATCAGGGTTTAAGTAACCCATGCTGGCCTAATATAGTCTTAATTTTTATTTTAAATATTATAAAATATCTGAGGTTTATTTTAGTGGAAGTTGGTATTTTCCCTTCGTTTATCTATTTGGTCTGTTCTTTGCACCACAATATTTGGTACTAACAGCTTGTGGAAGACACATTTATAAATATTTTTAATTTTGAAGGAAAAACATTATTCAGAATTCCAAGGAGTATTTTGGAGGAGTGAACTGCACATTAATTTTTGTTTATCTAGAGAAATCAAACTTTATTTATACTTTTTCTTCATAAACCTTTTAGCAGTGCTACCTCTATTGTCCTGGTCCCAACCTTTTGTCCTTGTGCCCTGAATGAAAGGAAATGGACTGGAGGGCAGTTTAAAAAGTAAAGCTGGCCAGTCGTGGTGGCGCATGCCTTTAATCCCAGCAACTTGAGAGGCAGAGGCAGGAGGACCTCTGTGAGTTCAAGGCCAGTCTGGTCTACACAGTGAGTTCCAGGCCAGCTGGGACAACAGGGAGACCCTGTCTCAAAAAGAAAAAAAAAAAAAAAAAAAGTAAAG